GCATCCACAGGACCTACCTGGAACAGACTTTGCAATAATCCATCTTCCCCCAACATCGTTTCCAATGCATTACAGCCGATATTAAGCTGTGCACACAGTTCCCTGGTTGTTATCTGCTGATCTGTGTGGATGAGCTGATTGAGGTGCTGTTCATTGTGAGGAGTGGCAGCTGAGCAGGGATGCCCAGGGCGTGGTTTGTCATGCACTTCACTTTCGCCACTGTTGAATGGCACTACCTGCCGCCTCACTGTGCTGACATCCACTGTATCGTCTCCGTACACCTTTAGCAAGCGTCGGTGAATGTGAATGGGTGCAATTTGTTTGGCAGTGAGAAATTCAATAACACATCTCTGTTTTTGTGCCCAGTTCTATGTCGGACGCCATTTTGGTAGGCTGCTCTGCTGTCGCTGTCTGTCGCACGACAACCAGACTAACAGAACATTGGCGGGAAGGTTGAACCTTTACTACAACACCACCAACATCCAGCTCAGACATTACATATTAACACAAAAAAATAGGAGCCATTATATGCGGAATGCCCTTCGTACTTATAACACAGTTTTACTGTAACCAAATCAGTCAATGTAGTGTCACTGAAGTTGGTTAAATTTAATGTTTCAGACTTGTCATCAGTGTGTATGTGTATGTGTATGATGACCCATATGGAAATATATGTAGTTACTGCTAGTTCAAGTGTTCCTGACATGTTGACTTGAAAATCAGTAAAATTTTATTTTTCTTTTTGCAAGAGGGAGGGATAGTGAAACGAAATCTGTGATTTGTACATATTGCAAGGGTAGTATCTTGTAAGAATGGACCAGGATTATGGCTTGCGTGGGTGAAAGGTTATAAGCATTCACAAAATTCTGTGGAGAAACTGCTTGGAATATTGGAATGTAAATGAGTGGATAGGTGTCAGGGAAATTGTTTTTGGAAGTGAACTGCATTGAACTGCTTTCAGTGGGCTTTGTCATTAGTGGTGTTATTGTATTGTATTGTATTGGAGAGGGTGGGTTTCCCCATGCACTTAGACCACCTGTTGGTCCATTGTGCGACCCCCTATGATATTCTACCAGTCTCTATTCCCTACTGGTACGTGCCATCAGTCTCGACTCAGCCAGCGAGTTTGGCCTCTACTGGCTCAACGGTATCTCGATGCTTCTCCCATCTACCAGAGGTGTTAGAGACTACTGTTGGGCGGGAAATGTCCCGAATTTGGCTCAGTGGTCCCCTTAGGACACGAGGTTCTTTTACGTGCCATAAAGCTACGACATGGGACCCACGGCTTAAGTCCCTCCTGGAGGACTTGTTCCCTGAATTTCTCCACCCTTAAAAATTCCACGACGTCCGCCGGGTTTGAACCCGTGTACCTTGAGTCACGAGGTGGGAACGTTAGCCCTAGACCACGGAGGCCGCTCATTAGTGGTGTTAAATGTTTGCCTTATATTGGCAGAGATTCACTTTCCCCCAAAATGGTGCATGTTCTGGTAACTGTGCGTTAAGCACAACACAGATGATGCCCAGAACAATAACTGTCACAAAATCCATATAATTTCCCTTCCCATATTTAGTATTTAGTTACATCAGAAGCCACCATTTATTTAAAACTTTCATTAATTAATCTTCAGTTCTTGTGGTTCTATTCCACACTCTCTCATTCTTAAGTTGTATTACTCGTTAAGTTAAATGTTTTTGCTTGTATGTACACAGACTTTTATATTTTTCTGACAGATTCAAATTTGGTGACATTATGTGTCATGTTGGCTTATGAGCTTCAGCTTCATTCTTGTTGCACAGTATGCAGTGTTTTGGTAAACACTTAAGTGGTCATCTTCAGTGTGAATGTCTTAAGCAGTCTGTGCATTAATGTTTATATTGTCACATGTACGCGTGACGAAAATGACATTTTCTAGTTTGGATGATTGGATTTATCGGAACTTTGGTTACACACTCTCTCTTAATTACACTTAAATACAGGCAATACAGGACTATTGCTGATTTACACACTTTCCATTTCACCATTGCGTACACACTAGGATTATTTGTTTCCACTAGTCGTCTCATAGCAACAGATCTCAATGCAGAAACTGTTACTTTAAATCACTATAAAGTCTCCTTGTTATTTCATCTTCAGTCACTCTGTACTCCGCTGTCCTAATCAGTACTCAATTAATCTTCGCAATTCACTAAGAATGTGCATCATTCTTGTCCTCATACTCTCAACTGTTGAACCCTCCTGGATTCTCCACTTCACTCTGTTCACGTGATTCTGCTGCTATTATTTCTCTCTACAACAAACTCAGAACTCTGTCACTCACTTATATAGCCGAAGGACTGACATTGACCAACAGTAAACGCGTTACATGGCAGCCACCTACTGTTGATGTGTGACCTCATTGATCCTATGTCAACTGCCGGACACATGGAAAACACAGCTTGCTCTACTGCAGCAGGTGCGTATCATGTTTACAGAGCTGTTGCCTGGCAATGCATCAATCAAATATGTCACAATATGTAGAGGTCAGACCTCTGAATGGGGCTAAACAGGAGCCAGACAGAGACCTTATATGGTCACTTTATTGGGGTGCCAAAACATATTTAAGCACAATAGATCACTGTAGGTCGCAGTGCAAGGGCTGAAAAAGCCCACCCCTTATACATTCGTATATAGTAGTGATAGTGAGATAAATATGACAGGTTTGTCAGGTGGTGAACAAAGTGTCAGCTCTGATGAAGCAGAAAGTATCAGTGACAGCAGTAGCATGCAACCTGACAAAAACTTTGTGGCCTTTAATTTGCAAGCGAACTATACTGACTGAATGACTGCCTCTTGTCAGCGAAGTTAGTACCAGCTTTAGCAGATAGAGGGTGTCGCATGGTCAACGCAGTGGATCCCCATGGCCCTTAATCTCGCTTTTCAAGACTGGACCTGACACATGGATAAATTCAGGTGCGGAGTGACCAAATTTTCCATTCAGTGGCAAGCCTGGCATAAATGTTGATTTAGAAGACCCCAATAACCCCTGGAATATTTTCATTTGTTTTGTACCATAGACATTGCAGAACTAATAGCCAGAAAAACAAATTGGTCTGCCCAAACATTTTTAGAAAACATGCCTAATCAAAATCTAAAATCTAGGAACCATCATTGGGCTGGTATTGAAAACTACATAATTATAAATTATTCACAGTATCTGTCACTTTAGTTGTAGCATTGTTTCTCATGGTATAATGGTTTTAATGATGATTTCATAGTGTGTAAAAGATAACAATTTTATAGCCAGTGTTTGGAAGAACAGTTCAGTTCATCTTCAGGGTAGAAGGAAGAATATAAGACTATAAGACTATATAAGACTAAGACATACCGTGAGAACCGGTAAAAGCAGACTGGTGTTGGAAATATACACAGCTATGTGCGAGCAGAGAAGAAGGGGGGAAGGGCATGGCCTGTGTAGCCTTCTGGATCTGGCGTCAGAAGGCTACACAGGCCATGACTGACTAATATAACACCCCCCCCCCAGCTTAAGGGTTAGTGCCCAGCCTTTAACCTTGCCTTTCTCTCTCCCAACACAAAAACCCTACTTGTCCCAGCTCCTTCCCCCCCCACCCTGACACTACTATTTTCACTTGTATACTTGCCCTTCCCCCCTTCTTCTCTGCTCTCACATAGCTGTGTATATTTCCAACACCAGTCTTCTTTTAACGGTTCTAACGGTCTCTTCGCTTGCGGATTTCTTATATTTTTCCTTCTACCCTGAAGATGGAGGTGATATGTTCCTCTGAAACGTCGGTTAACACCACATATAAACGGTGCCAAATCCCAGAAGACTGCTTTGTTCATAGTCACCGCCGTGAAAGCCTCAAATCTTACATACTATGATCATGTTTCATCTCTAAGCACCAGATGCTGCATATACTGAATGTGCATGAGTCAGACATGCCTTAGTGATCAAGTGTGGGGAACTTGCATGTCAGTGGTGACAGTGGTAGATTTTTTCAGAATAAAGCCCGAAGTATGGAATTTTACTAAAAATGTATAAACGTTAATGTAATGGCTATAGAAATGAAAATACAGAAATGTGAAGTCTGATAATTGGTCTTTCAGAGGCTTTTTGTTCTATAATATTATAATGACACATGATGGTGATATTATGCTTTAAAAAGGGAGCAAAGATTATAAAATTAAAGACTGCAGTGACAAATTTAAATGTCCAGGGGATTTAATGTGCTACTGTGGGTAAAATAAGTATTCTAAAATGTAGTCTAATAGATTGAAGTCAGCAATTTCTCTCTTCTACTTAAGTTTTACCATTTTCATATTTTCACACCATATCCCACTCAGTCTGCTGTTTCCCTATTACCTAATGCAGACCTAATAGAGAACACAGAAATATATGAAATGCACTCTGTACTCTTTCCATGGTAGCCACAGCTGTTAAAACAACGTGAAAGTATTCTGGTAGAGTTTGTGGATATTTATCAAATTTCTCATGTCTGTGTTTTTTTTAATTATGTGAGTAATACACTGATATATTGGGTTTTTGGACTTTATCCATTGTCCTGGTTTTTAGATAACTAATAAAAACAGGACGTTTCGGAAACTGGATCTGTTTCCGTCCTCAGGTGAAGGAAAACACCTACTCTGTTGCGTCTGTTAGAAAGAGCTAGCCTCAATCACTGTCCAGTGATTGAGGCTAGCTCTGAAATGTCGTGTTTTTATTAGTTATCTAAAAACCAGGACGATGGATAAAGTCCAAAAGCCCAATATATCAGTGTGTTATACACCGTCGTCAGAATCCTATAGTAACTATGTGAGTAATCTTTAATTTTTTAATTTAAGTGTTGCTTTTTCTGTTATGTATTGTTATATTGACCAGAAAATCAGTCATATCCTATAAGAATTGTATAGTACTTCTCCTTATCAAATTTATTTCCTAATATGTTCACATAAGGAGTGACTGAACTGTTCAGAGTCCTTAACCATTGATCTGTCATTTCAGTCATATGATGGGGCCAGAACTTCATACAAACTTTCTGTGATCCATTCACCAGAAACTGGAACTGTCAGCTCTTCTTCATCATATGCAGGTAAAGCTGATTAAATAGCTTGGCAGTGGCTTATCTTACATAAAGTAATCAGTCAGACTATTTATCTAAAGTGAGTCATAGGGTGACAGCGTTTCAGATACTTCTTTTGGCTTATTTTGGACTTCATCCATCCTCTGGTATGTAAAAGACAAAAGACCACGACGTTTCGGAGACTGGATCTGTCTCCATCTTCAGGTGGGTAGGGAAGGATAAACCTACTCAGTTGGGCCTGTTAGAAAGAGCTAGTCTCAATCACTGGACCCTACCCACCTGAAGACAGAGACAGATCCAGTCTCCGAAACGTCATGGTCTTTTGTCTTTTACCTACCAGACGATGGATGAAGTCCAAAATAAGCCAAAAGAAGTACAGTATACACCATCATCAGAATCCTTTCAAGTCTATCGGTGTTCAGATGATCACATAAAGAAATTCCTTGTACAGTGCCCACAGGTATGTTTTCTTTAACTTTGTAATATATACAGTTTCTTTATTAAAACCATCACAACACAACTATATTAAGGTCAGTGCCAAGTTTGGCTCTGCTACATGTTTTGGCTATTAAAAGCCATCTTCAGGATATTTTGATGATAATTTGTTTATCTGTAATTCCCATATAACTAACATTGAAAATATTTTGTATCAATTCAACAATATCCACCCTAATATCAAATTCACAATGGAAAAAGAAATAAATAATAAGATAAATTTCTTAGATTTATCCATCGAGAAAACACGAAAAGCTACAACTGGGAATCTATCGAAAACCTACGACTACTTACTTAATCATCCACAATGATTCATGTCACCCATTTGAACCAAAAAACCTGCTATAAACTATCTCATTAATCGATTGAATCAAAATCCCCTTTTGCATAACGGCAAAAACATAGAAGAAAACATTGTTGGAACTATAATAAAATAATAATAACTACCCACTAAATACCATACAACTAACACAAGAACCCTCCACAAAAAGAAATGGACCACCTTTAACTACAAGTATTTCGGCCATGAAATCAGATCTATTACTAAGCTTTTCAAGAATACTGAAGTTGCTATCTCATATGAGACAAAAAACAATATAAAACATCTGTTAAGAATAAATGATGACAGAAATGGTAAGTATAACCTTAGTGGTAAATGATATAAACTCCGTCTCAAGTGCAAACAATATATTTGTGTCTTTGATCTTGCTCCCTACACTACATGTTTCGGCCTCAGACGGCCATCATCAGGTGTATAACACTCACATCGCTGTCACACTGCACCCAGTTCAAAATTTAACATCTAAAACACTCTCCCTGTCATTATCAACTTCTACTTCGTTGATAGCTGTCCACCCGTAGATTACTTCACACACGTTAATTTTGAGTTTATTGTAATAGCACCATAATAAAATCTTTAGTTCTAATTTTAAACCTTTAAATTCTTGTCCAAATTTTAAAATTTTAAAATTGTTAGGGTTATTCGCCCTGTGTTTGAAGTGCTGCAGCGGCTAGTTCTTGTTTCCACACTGTATAGGTGTTATCCTGTGTAGTCTTTCTGTGTGCGTGCTGCTGCTATTCTTTACTACGTAAAGACACGTAGCACTTCAAACACAGGGCGAATAACCCTAACAATTTTAAAATTTTAAAATTTGGACAAGAATTTAAAGGTTTAAAATTAGAACTAAAGATTTTATTATGGTGCTATTACAATAAACTCAAAATTAACGTGTGTGAAGTAATCTACGGGTGGACAGCTATCAACGAAGTAGAAGTTGATAATGNCCTTCAGCGGCCAGTTCTTTTTTTCACACTGTATAGGTGTTATCCTGTGTAGTCTTTCTGTGTGCGTGCTGCTGCTATTCTTTACTACGTAAAGACACGTAGCACTTCAAACACAGGGCGAATAACCCTAACAATTTTAAAATTTTAAAATTTGGACAAGAATTTAAAGGTTTAAAATTAGAACTAAAGATTTTATTATGGTGCTATTACAATAAACTCAAAATTAACGTGTGTGAAGTAATCTACGGGTGGACAGCTATCAACGAAGTAGAAGTTGATAATGACAGGGAGAGTGTTTTAGATGTTAAATTTTGAACTGGGTGCAGTGTGACAGCGACGTGAGTGTTATACACCTGATGATGGCCGTCTGAGGCCGAAACATGTAGTGTAGGGAGCAAGATCAAAGACACAAAATATATTGTTTGCACTTGAGACGGAGTTTATATCATTTATCGTATGGAGTGCAACAGGATGCTTAAATATAATATTGAACACCTTAGTGGGGTTTACCAACTACAGTGTGCTGACTGTCCATTAAAATATGTAGGACAGACTGGACGTACCTTTAAAGTCAGATTCAGAGAACACATACGAGACACAAAAAAAATAATTTCCAAAGCTCCAGATTTTCTCAACATATATTGGACACCACACATGAATATAGTACGATAGACAAAACATTAGAAGTTCTATATATTGGCAAGAAAGGCCGAACCTTGGATACATATGAATTTATGAAATCAGCAAACTAAATTTACAACTAATTGATAATTGTACTGACATTTTTAACTCTATATATGATGTAATCATTGATACATACAAAACATAATAAATAGTCATAGCCCCCTCCCCCCCTACCACCACTTCGGCATACACCTTATCTCTACCTCCTCCCCCCCTTCCTCCCTTGGACTGACTTCAAACATACATCACCAAATCAGTTGTTTACATTCCCTACAGAATGGACAGTACATTGTAAGATGAGGCACTGACTAAATAGTAAGTAAATAATACACTATATCTTCAATACCAAAATCAATTGTTAATTATAACAAAATTTAATACTATTACTTTCATATCATTTTCAGATTAACATTAATATTACTACAGCTACATCACGAGCCTCCAAAACAGTTTATTATATATACACAGAATATTGAATACTCCAGTTTGTCCGTGGGAACACAACAAAATCATAAAAACCAGCCACTGACTCGGTGATGTAAAGCATCACTCGAAGAATTTTATTCTTGTTTTATACTATAACTTTTGTTTTGTATAGTCTAATTTATTGTATTTTTATGCCAAGTATTTTAATATAATTAATATTATTGTATCCAATTTTACTAGTACTGCAGTTCAGTGGTGTATATATGTTAGCCATGTGTTTGCCTGATGATGGCTTTTAATAGCTGAAACATGTAGCAGGGCTAAACTTGGCACTGACCTTAATATAGTTGTGTTGTGACGGTTTTAATAAAGAAATTGTAACACAACAGGATGCATGAAATGAAAAAAAAATGGATAATATATTTTCAGAAAATACTGCTGATGTATGTCACCTTGAAGTGTGGCTTGCAAAACCTGTCATTGTGCTAGATAAAAGTAAATTTATTGTTCTTGTAATAGGTGTATTTATTGTGGCTGATATGGATGTAACCTGGAGACATCCAAAGGATGGATAGTTTGCATGTGGCTGCAACAGGAAGTAGCAAATCATCTAGTCGTAGTGCTTCCCCGGGTCGTCCACTTCCTAGTTCGACCAGCAGCCATATTTTAGTTCCAAGCAACAGCTCCAGTCCTCAGAATACTTCAGCGTATGTATGTCTGTTACAGTAACCTTGAGGGGCTTGTGGATGTACTGGATCCACTTTGTTTTTGAATTTTCTTATATTACTAAGTGTTATTTGTTTTGTGAAAATAACTTGAGAAAAGGAAAATTTCTTTAGCTTTCAGGAAGGAATTCAATAAAATAAGTTCCACATCTGTACTTTTTTTTCAAATGGGTGTTAAAAGTGATATGTATCTTATACTACAGATTTTGTAGTTGTAACTTTGTACCACTAAAAGACTCTCTTTCTAATTATTTCGTTATAATTAGTGTATGCTCATTGAGGTTTTGGCAGGATGTTGGGTGCATTATGTTTCACCTAGAAGAACTGAGCGAAATGTTGTGGAAATGATTGTTTGAAACCCATTATTGGGGTCCTGGATTTCTGGCTACCTGATCTTATGTGGCCATCCTAGTCCTTGGGTTAAACCATATTCTAGCAAGTCATTGTTACAGCTACCAGAATATTGTATTTGTAGGATTTTTGAACATAAATCATAGTAGAGAGCAGTCTTCTTGTATGTGGCACTGTCTAGGTATTGTGTTAACCGACATTTTGGAGGAACATACCGCCTCCATCTTCAGGGTAAAAGAAAAAAAGAAGAAAATATGAAAGCGAAGAACCGATGTGATCGGGTGCAAATAGACTAATGTCTAGAATAAACCCAGCTGTATAGAGGAGGAAGGGATGGGAGAAAGGGAGCTATGTGGGAAATCAGTAGAGAGGAGAGGGGATGGTCTGGGCAGGTTGGGCCAGCCGGTCGCAGGCTAGAGCAGGTATAGAATATTGTGTCGGGGGGAGAAAGGTCAGGTTAATGGGAGGGCATTAACGCTTAACCTTGGGGGTTACTATGTGAGTTGGTCATGGACTTGCATGGCCTTGTGGATCGGGCATCATATCCCGGGGGTTTCTTGAGGGAACAAATGAGAAACTTCCATGACTTTCTGAGACAGAACCCACCTCTCTGTTCATATTGTTCTATGAACAAACTGATGGTGTGGCGATGGGCTCGCCACTATCTCCGGTCATTGCAAATTTATATATGGAGGACTTCAAGGAGAGGGCACTTGACTTGGCCCCACACAAGCCCTGCTGCTAGTTTCGCTACATGGACGACACCTTTATCATCTGGCCACACAAGCCTGACAAGCTTAAAGACTTCCTGAACCACCTAAATAGTGTCCATCAGTGCATTCAGTTCACAGTGGAGACCGAACTTCAGGGCCATCTCCCCTTCCTGGATATAGATATTTACATGAGACCTGACGGTTCATTGGGCCATAGAGTGTACCTCAAATCCACCCATATAAACCTCTACCTTAATGCTGCGTCTCACCACCACCCATCCAACAAGCAAGCTGTACTTTCCACATTGGTGCACAGGGCTAGAGCTCTTTGTGATCAAGACAGCCTACATGCGGAGTTGGTGCTCCTGGGGGATGTATTCAGGCAGAACGGATACAACAATCGGCAGATCCACAGAGTTCTCAACCATCGGCCCAACATCAGCTGGCCTGAAGATAAACCGAGCTCAATCGCCTTCCTTCCCTGTGTCGGGACTATATTCAACTGTATCAGCAGAGTGCTGTCCTGGCACAACATCAAATCAGTGGATCTGCCTCCAAAAAAATTATCCAGTTTCCTCTGGCCGGTCAAAGATAGCCTGTGACTAAGGATACTGGTGTGTACATTATACCATTCAAGTGCAGCAGGGTCTGTATTGGGCAGACAGGCCGTTCTGTGGACATGAGGTTGAAGGAGCATCAGCCGCACATCTGTCTCGAACATCCGCACAGGTCATCTGTGGCTGAACACAGCATCGATTTGGAAACTGCATTCAGCTTCAGAATACCTCCATCCTCGCCACCAAGACCCGATATATGGATCACATCATTAGGGAGGCCATTGAGATTGAACTTCATCCCGACAATATGAACAGAAAGGTGGGGTTTTGTCTCAGCAAGTCATGGAAGCCTCTCATCTGTTCCCTAACCCCCCCCCCCAGCTTTAGGGTTAATGCCCTCCCATAAACCTTACCTTTCTCCCCCCCCACCCAACACAATACCCCATACCTGCCCTAACCTTGCTCCTGTCCCAGGCCCTCCCCTTCTCCCTCTCCACTGTATTCCCATGTAGACTTGTCCCCTTCCTTCCCTGCTCTCATATAGCTGAGTTTATTTCCAACATTAGTCTGCTTGCACCTGTTCTCGCTGTCTCTTCGCTTGTGGATTTTCTTATATTTCCTTCTGCCCTGAAGATGAAGGCGATACGTTCCTCCGAAACATCGGTTAACCCCACATCTATACAGTGCCACATTCCAGAAGACTCTTCTCTTCATAGTCACCACTGTGAGAACCTCAAATCTTACATAAATCATAGTAGTGGAGTCCAGTTGGGTCCACTTGGCACGGTGGCCACTGATTGGCCTATTGTACCTGCCCTGGGTGATTATGATGATGGAGAATTTGGTGGAATGAAGATTGACAAGGGAAACCGAAGTACTCAGAGAAAACCTACTCCAGTGCCACTTTGTCCACCACAAATCCTACTTGACCAGACCCGGGTTTGAACTCTGGCCGCCGCGGTGATAAGCCAGCGACTAACCACTTGAGCTATGGCGCGGCCTAATAAATCATAGTAAGTTAAAAGTATGCTGTTTGGTTTTCTGTGTACTCAATGGTTCAGTTGTCTCTGTCATACTACAATTCAGATGCTATAAAATCTGGAAATGGAAAGTCCTTTCTTTGTGTGTGTATGGATGTGTGCCTGACGGATCACTGGATGAACTTTCTGATTAAATAAAGAAGATAGGAATATGAAAATTTAAAATTTCCATTTCATTATGATATTTTCCATTACCTTTCACTTTAAATGTGTTCTAAATATTTTGTTATTTTAATTGATGTGTTCTAAATAAGTGCCTTGAAATAAATTATTTTATATATAGATGAAAGATAATTCTACCTTACATAATGAACAGAATCACATGAGATATTAATAACTGTGATTTTGATATTTACTTCATTTTCATCATCACTTCCCCATGTACAAAGTGTGCTAGCATATAAGACACAGTACAATTTATAAGGCCATTTCCCCTGAGGGAAAAGAAACCAATTTCTATTCCAGGATATACAATATGTACCTTTGAGGTAGTTAGGTCACTTTTGCACCCTTATTTTTAATTCTAGCTGTAGGAAAATGTGTGTGCAGTCGCTAATATAGGCGAGGCTAAAGTTTTCCCTCTGCATAATTAAGTACCACCCCATGAAGACACATGTGAAAGGGGAGGTATGTCATCCATTCTTAACCTTGGCACTAATGGAAGGTGAGTTGTTAGGTTCATGCCTCTGGGGAAAGAACACCCAGTAACAGCTCTTTACCCTATTCATTATGGTGACTAAGCTGCCTCGCTCCAGAATTATATATGGAAAAGGAAATACTTATTTAGATAGCATGAAGCCTATTAAAATTGTTAAGATTAGACTTTGTCATAAGTACCTAACCGCAGCTTCAAAAGTTATGGAAAAATAGCAACGTTTGTAGTAAGATAGGGCCTGTTGAACATGACAGAATCAAAGTATTGTCACAATTTTAGAGTGACTGTAGATGGGTTTTGGATTGATGATTGCATGTATTGGACTCTTTGATACAGTGTATGACTACACTTTATAGTACACCATTACATGCCCACACTAGTGTCCACAGTCACATCTTCACTGCCGTTGCTTGGTAGTGGCTACCAATGGCAGACATTCCCCTTCCTCTGGGTTCCCAACCTGTCCCCAGTCCCAGCTACCAGCTTCTAACAGCAGCAACAAACAATGACTGAGCCCTAGCAGTCCCCAAGCTATTATTTTTGTATTGCTAGTGAGGTGGGACTAAGTCCCTTGTACTGCAGTCACTTCTGGCCTATTGTACCAGCCTCAGATGGTAGGTGAGGGTGATTGTGGAGCAATTGGTGGAATGAAGATTGACAGGGGAAACCGAAATACTCAGAGAAAACCTGCCCCAGCGCCACTTTGTCCACCACAAATTCCACTTGACCCGACCTGGGATCGAACCCGGGCTGCCGCGATGGGAAGCCAGCGACTAACCGCTTGAGTTATGACGCGGCCTGGCCCTCAGGCTAACTCACAAACTCACCAACCAGCTCTTTTACTCCATTCACTAACTTCTCACTAACCAACTGACTCCTCACTTGTCCTGCTCATAACATCTTAACACACACTGCATAGGAAACACCGTTCCTACATTGCAGTGCAGTTGTTGCATTCATTAGTGTTGGCGGAGTCATTACCTAGCAACAGCTTTTGTATAGTTGCTTATTTTGGAGCCGTTGCTTAGCAGCAGGTCTGCATCAAGAGATGCTGTTATTTAGAGGAAATATTTTGGCAAAAGTTCCTTATAAAAGCCAGACTTCTCAGAAGTATTTAACCTCTCCTTTTCTTTAACAGGCAACAGAGCACTATACTCATCCTCTAGTTTAACACTGAACAACAGTGCCTTCATTTTAGGTGGATCCCTTTACATCACAGAGGTGGCTTCCAGATATAGAGGGTAACTGTGAATATATTGAGTAAGCAGTTGCTGACAGCTGGCAAGGGGTGATCCTCTAGGTTAGGGGGTTAGGTGTGGGACTAACAACACCTCATCATAAAAAATAAGCTTATTACAAAATGTCACAGACTTGGACAGATTCTTTGGATAAAGGACTTAAGCCAAGGAAAATGGAAATGAGATTTGGTATTTGGAATGTAAGAAGTGTGTATAGGGTAGGTTCGCTCAAGACATTTGTGGAAGAAGTATCAAAATATGAGTTAGAATTAATGGGAGTACAGGAGGTCAGATGGGACAGATGCAGTGCCAAACCAGCAGGTGAATATACCATTTTCTATGGAATGAGAAACACAAATTAGGTACAGGGTTTTTTTGTACATAAGAGAATCATATCAGCAGTTAAGAAGGTAGAGTTTCATAGTGATAGGATATCATACTAGCGCTGGTGTGATGTCAGTGTTCTTAATGTTCGTGCCCCAACAGATAAAATTAATATCAAGGACAGCTTCTATGAGGAAGTAGAACATGTACTCAAATTCCATAAATACCATATGAAAATACTGTTTGGAGATCTCAATGCCAAAGTATGGAGGGAAGAAATTTTCAAGCCAACAATTGGGAATGAGAGTTTACATGAAATTAGTAACGATAATGGAGTTAGGGTAGTAAACTTTGCTGCGTCCAAAAATCCGACTGTTAGAAGTACATTATTCCAACATCATAACATCCATAAATTTGCTTGGACATCTCCTGATGGAAAGACTTAACAATAATGCATGTATTTACTATAGTTTGCTGGATAGGAGATGGCATGGAAGTGTACTTGATGTTCAGGGTAGCAGATTGTGATACTGACCACTATTTGGTGGTGACAAAAGTTGGGGAGAGACTGGCAGCGAGTAAGCAAACAATGCATAGATTTCATATGCAGAAGTTCATTCTCAGCAAATTAAACAAATTAGAGGGTAAAGATCAATATCATCTTGAGTTCTCAAATAGGTTCACAGCTTTGGAAAATTTAGACCCTGAGTGGATATTAATAGAGCTTGGGAAACTGTTACAGAGAATATCAAAATTTCAGCCAGAGAGAGTGTAGGTTATGAACTGAAGAATCGTAAGCCATGGTTCGACAAAGGATGCTCAGAATTATTAGATCATAGGAAACTAGCCAAATTGCAGTTTTTCAAGGCCCATGCAGAATAATTGGGAATTATCTGAACTATACAAGATGTGAAGCCACCAGGCATTTCAGGAATAAAAAGAGAGAATATTTGAGAGGCAAAACTAACAAGCTCACAACAAACAGTAAAAACAAAAATATTGGAGACCTGTATAGAGGAGTAAATGAATTTAAGAGGGGTTACCATCCTAGAAGTAACATAGTGACGGATGGGAATAGTGATCTGCTTGCAGATTCCCACAACATTTTAAATAGGTGAAGAACTACTCACTTGTTGAATGTACATGGAGTCAGTGATGTTAGGCAGAAAGAGATAGAGCAGGGGAATTAATATGTGATTGGAGTCCTTTTGCAATCAGAATTGCTATAGGAAAGCAGAAAAGGTAAAACTCTCCCACACACACACACACTCTCTCTCTCTCTCTCCCTCNTCATGCAAGTGCTTGTGGAAGCACCACTTCATGGCCCTGTTACTAGAGTTGCTTACAGGGGATACATATGAAGTGAATAACAGGATACAACACTATGAGAGTACAACTTAGCAGTGGTGTTTAGATTAGTGGGCATGGAAATTAAATCACCACCTGGACATGGTCCATACTTTTGCTGGATACATGACCAAATTTACCATTTAGTTTCACTGCAATATCCATATGAAGCAAATTAGCCAGGATATGGACAATTTTATATTTTCGGTTTTGCTGAATCAATAACAGAACTGCTCTAAAATCCATCAAACCATGGGTGTGTAGCCAAAGTAATGCAATGATTTGATGAAATGCTGTGACAAGTTAACCCATTTATTGATTCATACAAGTATTCCTATATTTAAGTGATACTTGTATTAAAAGAAAGTTACAGAGGGTTACATTGCATAAATTGAACATTATTTTCCTGTCTCCCCATGAACTCCTTCTCCATGAAGTCACACAGTAGTCTACATGTCCACACTGCCACTCAGGATTGGCCAGCAAGCAGTTTGTGTTAAATTGAGTGATGTTAACTGAAATCAGTCTGGATTAGTTAATCAAGTTAAAATGAAATGGCATTTTTCAAAACTGCATGTAACAAGGAGTACCTCTATAAACAAATGCATTAAATGAAATGAAATATATAAATAAATGAATAAAATGTGTTGGTACTTGAATAGTAACCTCTGAGATCTTCTAGAACTCCATATCTTGCACTGGGTACAGCTAGTTCAGAAATGACTTTTGAAGTAATTATCTTTTAAGTATTTGCTACAGTTCCTTGGATAGGGGATCAGCTCATTACAGTGCCTCTGTTACACAGCATGACACAAATGCAGAAAGAATAATGATGTAATCCATGCTCCAAATGGGGTTCAGACCCACAATCCCAGTGTTTAAGCATTTTGAAGGTTTACACATTTTGAACTATTGGGTCCTGTGGTCGTCATTACTGGAATTAATTTTGATAATTTTTCATGTCATCACAATGCGTTATAAACAGAATATTTAAGAAGCAGAATTATTTTCATGTAAGGAATTGAAAGTGCTTTGGTGAACAGTGTGTTCCAGTTATATCAGTGCTGCAGGTGGTATGCACTGCCAGAACACAGGGGTTAATGAATCTAGGATGTCAGAATAGAAGGTTACAAAGAGAAACTTATTTTTTGTGTTCTGTTCCCATAGGCGACGTTCTGGAGATGGCAGCACTGGTAGTGGCAGTAGTAGCACAATGAGTGGCTCAGTTAAAAATCGTCGCAAGTCCCCAGTCCCAGTCCGCAGGGAAAGGGGAGATAAAGAGAAGGGTTCTTCAGATGGTGGAACCCCACATCTGCCCCGTCCAGAGCTGGTATCCAGTCAGGGCTCGCAGGAGGAAGGAACCACTCAGAGTGGTGGTACTGAAGAAGAGGTAAAGTGGTATGGAAGGCAGTATATTATTTTCAGATTTGAACACGTTTGTGGTGAATTATCCTATTATTGTTAAACATTATAAATACCTTTCATGCCTAGAATTTAGTTTCATTGTAACTCATGTATTTCCAGAGAACTGTTGAAACTAGTTTGAGTAATTAAAAGATCTCAAATTTGAACCATATCTAGTGTACTCTGCTCTCATAGCTTTCTTTGATGTTGAGGTTCATCAGGCCAAGGCCAAATTTTTCTTCTTCATATGAGGAAACTAGGAAGATTGTTATGGTTGTGAGAAAAGACATTGGTAATATTCTTTTCAGGTACTTCAGAAGAGACGTGTATGAGACTCAAATTATCTAGATTAATTAATAGAAAATTCAATTTGAATGCTGATTTTTTGGTCACAAACTTCAAACATTATGAGATAACATCTTTGGATGGCCATTGGAATTGTAATGGCTCTCAACATGAATCATGTTAATGAACAGAATCTGCCTTTTCTATATATATATTGTAACGTGTTTCGTTACAGAATACGCCATAGAGATCGTTAATTGGTTTATTTAACAACCTACAAGTAACGGCTACAATTATTTATAACAATGTTACGGGTTTCCACACTTTACAAACCCTACAACCAAATCTCTTCACACTGTCTTCAGTAGTCTTCACGTATTAATAACGCGGGAGCTATACAAGTCTCCCTGAATTACACACTTTCACTTGTAACACGCCGCTGGCTAGATTCCAACTCTGCTCGCAGGCTGCTGCCTTGAGAACTGTTGATAACACACTGACTCGTCGGCTTGCTCGGAACTCTCGGAGGTAGCTCGAGGACTGTCTTCGGCGATGGCCACGTTACAACTAACTCGCAGCTGCTGTGCAGTTCCCTTATATAGCCGCAGTGGTGCCTGTTGCGTGCCACGTTACAGGAGTTGTTGACTGCTGCCTAGCAACCGCGATATCCCTTGGTGACGTCACCGCTGTTGACTCGCGTTGCATAGCTACCAGGTTGTGGGGACTCGGCTAACTTCGGCTCAGTTCGGCTCTCTTTCACTTTCACTTTCACTTTTTATTTGTTCCATAGATCGTTATTGACAAACATGCCACAGGATGTAGAACATGTCAAAGTTAATTATAAAAGAAAAAACAGTTCCTATACAGAGCTTTGTCAACAATAAAATAGGTACAATAAAATAAGAATAGCCTACACATATAATAGATTTATCACATTTCTGCACAGTATGCTAAAATCAAGATATAAATATAATATTATCAAATATATAACATTATAAATATAAAATCAAAATAAAATTATAAAATATATTATTGTATTATATTAAAATATTCCTCTA